CAAATATGCAATTTCAGCGACCTGATATTTGACAAAAGGGCCAAGAACATTAACTGGAGGAAAGACAGCATGTTTAGCAAATGGTGCTGGCAAAACTGGATCTCCACTGCCTGAAGAATGAAACTAAACCCCTATCTTTCACCCTGCACAAAAGTCAATTCAAAATGGATCAAAGACCTCAATGTGAAGCCTGAAACTCTGAAACTATTAGAAGAAAACATTGGAAAAAACCTACAAGATATAGGTGTAGGAAAGAATTTTCTAAACCAGACATCAATTGCGCAGGAAACAAGGGCAAGAATTAAATTCTGTGTGAGTTCAAGTCCAGCCTAGGTTATATGAGACCATGCCTTAAAAAAATAAAACATTTGCTTTCCTACCTAGCCAAGTTAATGGTTGCAATCACCATGTAGGCATCAAAGTAACTTCTCAAGTTCTGACTGTTATGAAGCTAACTGCACTATACCATGTAATAATACTATATACTATTTGAGGGAAAACATGGCATTAATCTTGGGGAGCTATAGCCCCTGGCACTAAAGAAAGGCTGGGACAATATTATAGGGACACAGTATTCATGTATCTTAATTTTCGTTTTTTATTATTATTTTTATGTGTATACGTGTATTGCCTGCATGTAGGTAAGTGCACCCATGTTGTGCAATGCCCACAGAGGTCAGAAGAGGCTGTCAGATCCCCTAGGACTGGAGTTATGGAGAGTTGTTAGTTGCCATGTGGGTGCTGGGATTTGAATCTGGGTCTTCTGTAAGAACAGCCAGTGCTCTAGGGACTGCTGAGCCATCTCTCCAGCCCCCCTTAATTTTCTTAAAGGTCTTCTAATACAGTGAGAAAAGGCTGTTAACATACAAGTGTGCTTCCTCCAGACATTATGTGTTGCCTGGGGCTCCTGTGCTGACATCTACCTGGCAGTGCTCACGGAGAGCAGACAGTGATCATGTGTTTGGTTCCCCCTTGTCCATTGAGCTGTGACTGTAACTGTGGTGAGTTACAGGAGCCACCTCTGGTCTGCCACAGCTGATAAATCATTTCCCAAGCCAAAAAAAAAAAAGCAAAGTTCACATTTCAGAGGCCAGAAGAATCCATGTGCCTAATGCTCTTCTGACTCTAGTGATCTTTAGCCCCCAGGATACCATGGCAAAGACAGAACTGAAAACTTCAGGGTCACAGGTGGACTGACATGCATGACACTGCAGCCCCAGGCAGTATGAGCCATGGTTGTTCATACCAAGAATTAACAGCTTTGAAGGATCATGTTGCAGAAGACAAGTCCATTCAACAGTAAAGTTTTTCTTAATAAAAGGGCACTAAAACGTGAATGTTATATTTTTATTTTTCACAAATGAAAATGACAAATGACATGTAAAAGACATAATAGAGTATCACAATACAGTAACAGCAATGAGCTAACCATCTCATACAGACAGCAGCCCAAGAAGTACTAGGATACTACTTCAAGAAAGGCTTACAAAATAAATCTGGAAATGATATACTTCTAACTAGATCAACAAATCAAAAATGACCACAAACCAAAAAAACATCTAGAACCCATACAGTAGTAAGTAAAGGAAAAAAGGGAAATCTGGGTATCCATGTACTGGGAGTGCTCTGTTGAAATCAAGGAACCTATAAAAGAAAAAAAGACAAAAATTAAAACAATGTTTTCATAGAACTCCATGACATTATTGCAGGTACATTTTTGTTTCTCTTCCTTCAGTGCTGGGGATAGAACCCACTGCCTCATGCATGCTAGGCAAGTGTTCTACCACTGAGTGATGCTCCTAGCCCTGGAAAACACATTTGTATACTTAACCTGCTCAAGACATTTTCTTTCTTACTCTTGAAATAACTATATATAAAAAAGATCACAAGGGCTGGTGAGATGGCTCAGTGAGTAAAGGCACTTGCTGCCAAGCCTAATGACATGAGCTTGATTCCCAGAACATACATGGTAAAAGAGAACAGACTTCTGTAGTTATCTCTCTCTCTCTCTCTCTCTCTCACACACACACACACACATACACACACACACACAAAATGTAAAAAATAAAATTAAAAACATCTCAACAACTCTATAAGAAAGAATTTTTTAAGATTTATCTTATATTTATGTGTACATATGGAGAGGTATGTGCATGTATGAGCACAGTGGACATGGAGTGCACATGTGAGCACAGTGCAGAAGAGGGTGTCAGATCCCCTGGTGCTAGAGTTACCAATGGTTGTTAAGCCTGTTGCTAGGAACCAAACTTGAGTCCTCTGTAAGAGCACTATGTCCTCTTTAAGAAAGGACTTGAAGTCAAACATGGTGGCATATGGCTGTTATCCTAGCCCTCAAGAAGCTGAGACAGGAGAATGGAGAGTTTGAGGCTAGTCTGGGCTATATAGTGAGTTTTAGGCACCTGGACTTCATAGTGAGACCCTGATGTCCCCTCCTCCAATTTTTTTGCAAGACTTGAAAACTTTTTGAACAATCAGTTTCATATTTTGTAGAGATGGTCCCTATTCAGGCCTATAACAATAAGTAATATGCCATAATTTTATTATTTTTAAAATTTTTTATGTGTATGAATGTTTTGCTTTCATATAAGCGTACCATGTGCATGGAATTCATGCAGAAGCCAGAAGAGGGCATTGGATCCCCTGGAACTGGAATTACAGAAAGTTGTTAGCTGCCATGTGGATGCTGGGAACCAAACCTGGGTCCTCTGCAAGAGCAGCCAATGCTCTTAACCACTGAGCCATTTCTCCAGCCCCTATTTTATTTTTTGAGACAGAGTCATACTGTGTAGCCCTGGCTAGTGTCAAACTCACAGAGATCCACCTGCCTCTGTCATCAGAGTGCTGTGCCATCTTGCCCAGCCTACCCCATAATTTTAATGTGAGAAAAATCATCTTAATCATCAAAATTATGCTTCATGTTCTATTTATACACTACAACCACAAAACAAATGTCTCTTCCCTTCTTGGCCTCTAGAAGCATCTCTGAAATAGTCAACTGAAAAGCCAAGTTCTATGACAGTGGTCTGGACACCTATCCTGTGTCCTTTCATCCTCTCTGAGAGCAGCTAGCTCTAAGGGGGCTGTTGTGTAGTAAGTGCCCTACCTACATGCTCTGTAACACTTCTCCATTAAGGAGCATGACTATACCAGGAAATGGCTTTTCTGACCTGTAAAAATCCTTCTGAGAAAAATTTTACACCACTGGAAGGAAGATCACTAGAACAAACTGACAGTTACTGAAATTAAATCTTTGTAGTAGCAGAGTCTCAGAGAACCAGAATTCAACCAGGAAGACTGGTGGTATCTCACTCTGAAAGATATGCTACCCATTTAAACTGAAACCACCTAAAAATTCTCATAGCCAGAGAAACTTCAGGTTAGAATAAATACTTATGGGTAGTCTTTGGACTCTATCAATTTTCAGATTTAGGGAAGAAGAAAGAGGTTAAAAATCCTATTAATACTGGACATGGTGGCACATGTCTATTTCCTTAGGATTTGGTAAGTAGAAAACAAGAGGACCTGGAGTCTGAGGCCATGCTTAGCAATATAGCAAGTTCCAGGCCAGACTATAGAGTAATATCTATCCAAAAAACCAGAAACAGGGATGGGGATGTAGCTCAGTGGTAAAGTACTTGTCTAGCAGATATAAGGCCCTGGGTTCAATCCTCAGCACTGACACAGAGAGAAAGAGAGAGAGAGAGAGAGAGAGAGAGAGAGAGAGGAGAGAGAGAGAGAGGAGAGAGAGAGAGAGGAGAGAGAGAGAATGAGAATGCATCAGTCATGGATTCATGAATGAGGGAAAGACCCTCCCTCTCCCCTCTTTAGGGAGCTATCGGCAGATGGCCGCTTGCTGAGGGAACAGGTCCTTGTCCTGGGTGGTGAAGCCACCGGTGAGCTGCCTGTACTCCAGTGGTTAGCTCTATACCCAGTGGGTCACAAAACAAAAACAAAAACACACCACAGTGGGTAGGGGATTTGGTAAGAGGAGGGAATGGAATGGGTGGAGGTGGGAAAGGGATTAGGGTAGTGACCAGAATATATGACATACATGTATGAAATTGTCTAAGAATAAATTTTCTTTAAAAAAAAAAATCACTGCTCAAAACAAAACAAAAACTAAAGCAAGATACAAACAGAAGGTCATTTTGGTCTTCAGAGAGACAAGACAGCAGAAAGCACGCTCCACTGAACTGCCTATGGCACATGCTTTCATCACAACCCTCACATGATGCTTTGATGGTTTCTTCCTTGTGAAAACCATATTCACTGCATAGGAAAAGTATGAACAGGAAACTGCAAGGGCAGTGAGCACACACAATACTATTCAATGGACTGAAGACAGTCACACATGTGGACTTGGGTTCTAATTAAGAAAAATGAAAGTCTTATAACACTAAACGAGCTGTTTCCCGTGGTTCCACAACTCTTGTAAGTTCACTTAAAAATACATATTGTAAGTAAAGTGAGATATATGTACCACTTACCATTCCTCTTTTTAAACATCTATGGATATAGCTGTGTTTTTCTAAATGTTTCATTAGTAATACTCAGTCTTATAAGTCTGGTTCCATAATAGTCTATAATATAACTACTTCCATCTGAAGGTCCAACAATCTAAAAAAGACAAAAATTTCAAAATTATTAATTTTATAAGACATTTGAGTTTTTCTTAGTAGATAGTAAAATTATCTCAGTAGCCACAAAACCCAAAGTTGAAGGAAAACAGAAGTTGAAATAGGCAGGGATAGCTCACACAAAGAAAGACAAGCTGGGGCAGCACAGGCTTCCGGGCTGAATTCTCCACCTCGCTGCCTCTATGTTTTGCTCTTCCTGTCCTTATTCTGTAAACAAGCAACTCCAAATGCATACATCCCACCTCAGCTGTTTCCAATAAAATTTTTCCATACTATTTATATACCAGTTCCAGGGAAAGATTTTCATTGATCTGTTTGCATTTTGTAAGTATTGCTAGACAAATTACGGTTATCAAAGGAAAAAGAATTTAGTATGATTGACCAGGCCAGCCCCCAGAGGGAAATGATGGTAAATGACTAGTTCCACCTGCAGTGGAAAAGAGACTGAGAGAAAAAACACATGTTCACTACAATCATCTTGTCCACTGTTAACCACATTTGTGATAGTACAGTTAATACGGTCTCTATAAATTATCATTTAAAATAGCAATATTGGGGCCAGCAAGATGGCTCAGCAGTTATAGAGGTGCTTGTGACCAAGCCTGATGACCTCAGTTCAATTTCTGGAATCCACGTGATATAAGGAGAGAATCAACACCTGCAACTTGTATTCCAATTCCCATATGTGTGCTGTGGCATGCAACCCCTCTCCCTTACTTACTTACTTACTTACTTATTTATTTATTTATTTAATAAGCTTAAAAACTAAATAAAAAAAAATAGATAGCAATCTTCAAACTGTAGCCTTAAGGGTAGACAAAGATTTACCAAGTTGTATGTGGGGCCCATATGTTTTACAGGTATCAATTCTGGGATACCTATTGGCATAAATATGCTATAGAACTTACCTGCCTGTATGGCGGGGGGATTATACTAGTTTTCCTTCCTATGTCCCTCCCACTGTAGTCATTTCTCCAAGTCAGTTAACAGTAAAACATACCTACCATCAACGCCTACAGTGTGCACTGCTTCTGAAGAGCCAATACAAGGAAAAGTTCAAAATAACAGACTTAGGAAAACCTCCTTTAATCAAAGATCTGAAAATATATTCTGCCTTATCTTGTTCAAAAGATGCAATCTTTTGGTGGTATGGTGGGGCATGCCTGTAATCCTAGCACTTATGGGGTGGAGGCAGAAAGATCAGTTCATCACCTTCAGGTACATGATGAATTCAAAGTTAGCCTGGGTTATGAGACACTGTCACAAAAAATAAAACAAAACACCACACACTGTGGAGCTGTGAATAAATGCTCTTTTTGTGGTAATTAATTACATTAAAGGTAGTTTCCTCAAATTTCTGCCAGCATCCTACAGTTTTGGGGTTTTTGTTGTTGTTGTTGCTGTTGTTTTAAGGTGTATAAAAAGGTTTTAACGGTCATCTCTGCTAGATTATTACAATCTGTTGGTCTTGGAGATGGTGGGAAAAGTTTTCACATGGAAGTAATAACAGAGCCTGGCAAGATGCTTGGAGCACACTGTGTGCTAGGACAGGTTCATTCCTCACACCCAGTCAGCATGTCTAGCATTCAGCTACAAATAATTCATTTTCCAGAACCTTTAAACCAAGGAGCTATTGGCTTATGATAGCTTCTGGGAAAGGAAGAGTTTTCTTCAAGGGTGTGGCCATGGTTATGCTGTTCATGCTCCAGGGCTGATATCACTCTAAAGAGCAACACAAATTGGACTTAATGTGGGAAAAAAAAAAAAAAAAAAAGAAGGTAGGTTGGTGGGTAAGAAGATGGGGCTGATCTGGGGAATTGGGAGAGAGGAGACTATAATTAAATATATTGCATGAAACTGTCAAAGAATTAATTTAAAAACTGAAAAAAATCATAATGGTTTATGAAGAGTTTATTCCTATCTGTTTTAAGTAGATGATCTTTAAAATTCTGTGGTATTTATAGTCTGTTGGATACATTTAAAAACTGATGTAACAGTTTTATTTAAATATGTCAATATTTGAAATTACATCCCATGCAACTATTTAAATTTATGATGGAAAGCTTAAATGTCAATTTAAAAATATGCAGAGGGTACAGACAAAAAAAATGCCTAAAGGTTCTACAACTAGAGTTTAAAGAAAATTGCCATCCTGTTCTTCTCATTTAAAAAGGGAATTCAGGGATGAGCATTAAGGTACACACCTGTAGCCTCTAGCACTTGGGAGGCTGAGGCAGAAGGAGCAACACAAGTTTAAGGCCACCTTGAGCTACACAGCAAATGTCTAACCCCCCCCCAAAAAAAACCAAATAAGCAACCCCCCCCCAATATTAGTGAATTTAGCCTTAAAAACTAACAAAAGCTGGATGCAGTGACATATACCTACACCTGTAGCCTCTAGCACTTGGGAGGCTGAGGCAGGAAAGCAGCTTGAGCACAGGAATATAAAGCTAACCTGGGGTACACAATGAACCCCCCATCTCAAAAACAAAAACTCTATTCAACAAATACTTAATTCCTACAATATTACAGGTATGATACCAGCCATTAAGTATATGACAGTGACAATAGGAAGCTTGTTCTAGTGAATTCAACTAATACTGACTTAGCACTGACATGCCAGATACCATGTCAGGTGCTGCTATGCATATCAACTTGATTAAATTAAACTTGTTTGACATTTATAGATGGTATGTATGAATTTAAAGTATTTGTGACATTTCAGTGGCTAGGGTCACAAGGAAATTACTATGAACCTTAAGCTAAGATAAAAATGGGTAATTAGAAGACAATTTTGAGACTATCAGGAAAACAAAGAAGATAAAGCTCAGTTAGCAGAAATAGGCCAATAATGCTGTAAAAATTTCTCTTACTTGGAATATGTGAACAAACTGTAACTGAGCCTTTTGTTCTATTGTCTTTTTCTTCCTAAAAGTATTTTTCCTGATAATCTCATTTACTCACTAAAGAAAAATATTAAAAAATTAGAAATAAGGTGAATACATGATTGGATGACTTTTTAATACTGTGTATTTTTAATAAGCCCATCTGTAACTTGTCTGAGGCTCCAGATGTTTCACAATCTTGTCATGTTAGCCACTAACTTGAAGAAAATGTTAAGTGTTGGTCCCCACCAAACCACCTTTCCTCATCCTATACTGAAGACAGCACTAGAGTTACACACAGTGCAACGTTTTCTGTAATTTAGCAATCATATTATAGCATTTCTTTCCCTATAAACTGTTAGTACTGGTTCTTCAACAACAGTTTTGAGCGGCAATCTATTTCTCTTTCAGGCAGTTAGTTGTTCAGCCTTGGAATGTAATGAAACTCTGGCTAATCACCTATGACACAAGATCATCCAATCATCCAGGGATTTATTTACTCTCAAAAAGATCTGCATGAAAGAAAGCAGGCTTTTTATTTTTCTGGCCCTAAAAGTGACCAGATAAGGACTTGATGTTAAAAGAAATGAAGAAAGCAAAGAGAAAGAAGGGGAAAGAAGGAGGGAAGGAGACAAGGGATAGGGGAGGAAGAGGAAAGGGAAGGGAATGAGAGCTGAGGGGAAGGAAGAGCAAAGAGAGAGGGAAGGGAGAAGGAGGGGAGGGAAGAGGAAAAGAGGAGGTGAGAAACAGAGGGAAGAGAAAGGGAAGAAGAGAGGGAAGGGGAGGGTAAAGGGAAGGGAAGAAGAGAGAGAAGAGGAGGGGGGAAGGGAACAGGAAAGAAGAGAGGAGTAGGAGAAGCTGGCCCCTGTAGTACTCTAAGTTCCAGTGTCTTTTTATGACATTTAAAGGACACTAACAGCACATGCCACTGTAAGACATCATCACAATACTTTCTCATGAATATAAAGGTTTCAATTATTTAAATCCACATTTCCTCACCAAAATACAAACACGTATAATAAATGTGCCAATTTAAAAAAATTTCTCATGAAGACAGTACTGTATTGTTAATTTTAAAATAACAAATCTTTTAAAATAACCCCCAGTGAGCAATATTTTACTCAGTAAATATGCCCATGTCTATTTGTACACTGACAAGCTAATAAATACAGGTATGTGCACACACAAACAAATAAATGTAAAAATTTTTTTTAAAAAAGCACTTTTTCATGACACACACTGATGTCTCTTATGTACAAAACCCTAACACCACAGAACCTAAATTCAGCAGGCTGGAGAGATGGCTCAGCAGTTAAGAGCACTGACTGCTCTTGCAGAGGACCTGGATTCGATTCCCAGCACCCACAAAGCAGCTAACAACTGTCTGTAACTCCAATTCCAGGGGATCTAGTATCTTCTTCTGACCTCCATGGGCACTGCACAGTATGACTGCACTTACACACATGCAGGCAATACACTCATACACATAAAATAATAATAGTATTTTTTAAAACCCTAAACCCAGCAGTTTTGTAAAGTTGCTTTAACAAATGGCCACAAATTTTGTAGATTAAAGTAACAAAAATGTACAGTTCTGAAGAACAGAAGCTCCAAGCTTCTGGTAGCAACTGGTATTCTCTAGCCTACTGTGACTCTACTGGCATCTGTCACTGGATTAAGGTCCCCATATCAAGATCTTTAACTTCATCACAGCTGCAAAGGCCTGGTTCATAAATTCACAGGTTCTTTTGGTTCATCCTGGCCTTCTAGGGAAATGGCGGCAGTTTGGAGAGAATGTTTTGTTCTTCACCCTTGATGCCTTTGATCTAAATCTTGACAGCATCCCCACCCCCCACCGGCACCATACAAACAGGCACATACATAACTTGCCGCACATACAAACAGGCACATACATAACTTGATTTGGACATGTATTCTTAGAAATGTGATGTTCTTTAAATAAATATATATTTTAAAAATTTATCTGAACAGTACTGTGTTATAAATCTTAATCAATTGAAAATGAAAATATTATTTTATGTGCATGAGTGTTTTGCCTATATGTACTACATGTGTGCCGGTGCCCTCAGCAGCT